AAAAAAAAAAAAAAAAAGACTGTAGAAGCCAGGCGCTGGTGGCTCACACCTGTAATCCTAGTTACTCAGGAGATCTGAGGATCACAGTTCAAAGCCAGCCTGGGCAGGAAAGTCCATGAGACTTACATCTCCAAATGACTACCAGAAAACCAAAAGTAGCGCTGAGGCTCAAGTGGTAGAGAGCTAGCCTTGAGTTGAAGAATGCAGGGACAGTGCCCAAGCCCAGAGTTCAAGCCCCACGACTGACCAAAAGAAAAAAAAGACTGTAGTAGATTGTGTTATATTAAAAACACACACACACACACATTAATCTGGACATGGTGGCACTTGCTTATAATTCTAACTCAAGAGGCTGAGGCACAAGGAAAAAGTCAGAAGGTAGCCTAAGCTACCTAGTGAAAAGCTATCACAAAAAAATAAACAACCAACAAATGACCATGTAATTGCTTGAACAACTCCAGTAACTAGTGATGCATTGTAATTTCAAAGTGTTCCATTGTATTTTCTTCCTTACTTTCAGCTGCAATTCGTCTCTCTGCAACTTTTACCAATGGGACCTATAACACAAATCTAATTAACTTTGAACTTGCTAGGCCTATGACCTCATAACTCCCAAGTCTTCTCGATGTTACATAGATACTGATAACCATGAATGTATGTTTTCTGAGATTCTAGATCCGGTTGAATAGCCTTTCTACCCTTCCAGAATTTCCCAATCATTTACCTTTATATTTTTCTCATTAGCTACCTTTGTACTGTCCTTGGTGAACTCAAGACTATAAACTGAACCTAAAATGAGATCGATGAGATTTAGGGGAAAAAGTTCTCTTACCTGATGCTCTTGGAGTTTTCTCTTGCTGCTTCAGTTTCACATCTGGCACTGGTCTCAATGTTTGCCTTCTGTCAAGGCCCCTGTTGCCTTGTGATATCGGCCTGGGAGGAGCAGGAACTCTGCCAGACTCCTCCAGTCTTCATAACATGGACTCACTGAGGAAGGCTGATAAGGACTCAAGAAGTGTGTATGTCAGGGCCTGACCTCAGGGAGTGAATCAGGGTTTCATAATGGGAAAACTCAACGGTCTCCAAATGAGCAGTCAAAAATTGAAGCCCCTAAGACAATGATGATCTGTTCCACACATCCTAGAAGTACCTTCTGCCCTGGTTAATTTTGTTAGCAAAACTCTACTAACTACATTCATTTTAAGTTAGGCTATGCTGTACATATTCATTGCAAGAAACATTAACTTATTTTCCACCTTTCATATTGTTTATTCGATGTAATGTTTATTCTTCTCTTACTCTTTGATAGACATAAGATCTAGTGTAGTAAAATGCATAGAAATAAGTTGGTGGTCACTGAGTTGAGGATGATAGGCAAATTTTGATTTAAGTTTGTGTGTGTGTGTGTGTGTGTGCATGCACACGCGTGCACACACATGCACTAGTATTGTGGTTGAACTCAGGGCCTGGTTACTTTCCTTAGCTTTCTCACTCAAGGTTGGTATTCGACCACTTGAGTCACAGCTCCACTTCTGGCTTTTTGGTGGTTAATTGAAGAGAGGAGACTCCTAGACTTTTCTGTCCAGGCTGATTTTGAACTGAGAGCTTCAGATCTCAGCCTCCTGAGTAGCTGGGGTTACAGCAGGTAGGGGGTTACAGGTATGTACCAACAGTGCTGGGCTCAGAACCCTTACTTTATTTGTGTTCATTTCCACTTCTTAATAGTCATAAGCACTGCCTATGTGCTCACCAGACACAAAGTATCAGATACCTGCTAAAAGGGCTGGCTTGGTCCTTGATCTCTTGACCCACAAGTGTTTCCATTTCAACCTTAATTATTTCATAGAAATGACTGGATATGTGTAGTTAGATAACATAGTTACCAATAGCAACAGCCTGGGTTCCACCATGCCATTACTGGGCTCCGGTAAGTTCCCTTACATCCATTCTTTCCTCTATTTGGGAATATGTAGGGTGTTCAGATGCTGCCCTTACATTCTAGCTGGGAGACCTTGGTTAAACTAACCTAAACGTCACAATCTTTCTTATAATAGTGCCTTCTCCACAGAATATTTTTAAGGATAAAATGAGATGCTATACATAGTGAATAGCATAGAATTCCAGCCTTTTCTTCATTAATCCATGATTGAATAATCAAGCACCTTCCAAAACCAGTACAGTGCCTCTGGCAACCCAAAATAGTGCATTTAGTGATTGCTTCTTTTGGGTCAAATATGCACTTTTCTTTTCTTATATAATCCTCTCAATGCCTGAAAGACAGGCATTTTTTTACTACCTTATAAATGAAAGAATTGATCAGAAAGTAAAGCTCAGGGTTACCTATTAGCAAAGCTGGGATTTGAACATTGGGTTATCTGAATCCAAAGCTCGTCTCATTCTGCCACACAGCTGACAGCTGGAAGGAGATACATGCCTATTACCCTCTCTAGAGGGAAAAGATATAAATAACTCCTAACAGTTCAATATCTACCAGTAACATTGCCTGAGCACTCTGATTACTAGGCATTATTTTCATTCATCTTTAACAACTTTGTTAGCTGATATAATTATCTTATTAAAAAAAAATAAAAGCTACTGCCACTGGGTGTTGCTGGTGGCTCATGCCTGTAATTCCATCTAACTGAGGAAGCTGAGATCTGAGGATCAAGAGTCAAAACCAGCTCAGGCAGAAAAGTTGGTGAGACTCTTATCTCCAATTAATCACACGAAAGCCAGACCAGGAGCTAAGGCTAGCCTTAAGTGGAAAAAGACAAGGGAAGGAAGCCCCTGAGTTCAAGCCTCAGGACCTGAACAAAAAAACAAACAAACAAATAAAGAAAAAAAACAGATAAGGACAGGCACTCAACTCAAGCCTATAATCCTAGCTTCTCAGAAGGCTGAGGTAAGAGGATCCAGATTCAAAGCCAGCCCAGGAAGGAAAGTCTGTGAGACTCTTGTCTCCAATTAACTGCCAAAAAGCTGGGAGTAGCACTATGGCTCAAGTGGTCAGGGACTGACTAGCTTGAGCAAAAAAAACTAAGGGACAGCTCTCTAGTGCTGAATGCAAGCCCCAGTAATCAAACAAAAATAAATAAAATAAAGTATACATGCCTGAACTCCAACCCCTGAGAATATCTGATTGGACAGATCTGGGTTGAACCCCAGGCATTCTGGAGTTTTGAATTTATTTATTTATTTTGGTTGGTTGTTGGGTTTGAACTCTGGGCTGGGCACTGTCCCTCAGCTCTTCAGCTCAAGGCTAGCACTCTACTACTTGAGCCACAGCTCAACGTCCGATTTTCTGGTGGTTTATTGGAGTTAAGAGTCTCATGGACTTTCCTGCCTGGGCTGGCTTTGAACTGTGATTCTCAGATCTCAGCCTCCTGAGTACCCAGGATTACAGGCGTGAGCCACAGGCGCCCGGCCCGTTTTTGATGTTTGATTTTATACTGGAGAACATCTGTGTTGTTAACACCACGGATTGTTGCCAACTCAGAATCTTGAGAAGCTCCTCAAGAACTCTATTACTCTAGCTAAATTAGTAAATTCTCCTTAAAGCTCAGCTAATTCAAACACCGAAATTATTCCTTCTCCACATTCTTAAATCTTCTTATCCTTCAGGACCTAGCCACCTTTCTCAGAGTCTTTCCCACTTGCCTTCCCACTTCTTTGGCAGTTAGCCATGCTTCCCACCCCCAAACCCCCCCACCCCCACCAGGGTGTCACTTTCTTATTTAGGAAATGTTCAAGAGGTTGACCATCCAATGAATTACCCCTGGACAGGAAGGGACACTTCCATCAGTGAGTCCACCCCAATCCCTTGCCCCTCAAGCAGAATCCAGAATAAGTGCAATAAATACTGTGGGTTTAATTAACCCACACTTCTTCCGGCAATCGCAGGTCACAAACACACTCACAGACACAGTCAAAATCACCATGCTTAACAGCTGTCCCGAGGACAGGGAATTTTAAGGAGTGAAAAAGAAAACAAAAGAAAAGAAAAAGAACCAAGAGTACTAATAAGCAAATAGTGTCTCTCTAACTGGAGACCAAGATGCAAAGAAGCGAGGGAGGAACCAATTCTCTAGCTCCACCCCTAATGTCCGCTTCGGCCTCCGATTGGCTCCAGTTCAAGCCAACGCCGCCTTACTGCCGCTCACGTGACTACACAGCCGCAAACGGGATTGGCTGTTCTGGCGCGCACCGCGCAGGACTGTGGGCTGCGGGTCCGGCGGCCAGACGCCGAGAGGTCGTGGGCAGCAGTTCGTGCGTGGTCGGCGGACCTGAAGACTTGGCCATCGTCCTCCGCTGTGGCCAAGATCGAAAAGAGTTCAGGGCTTGGTAACTTTGTAGAGTTCGGAAAGCGGGTAGTGCTCTCCCTTTCTCACTGGGTGCTTGGCCTGACCTCTGACCCTGGCCCTAACTCCTTTTTCCCGCGCGACGACAACTTCAGCCATTGATGAAGGTGGTGGGGTTTGAACCTTGTCTTTTAAGTTTAATTTGGGGATCTCTGCCCCCTCCCACTTCCCTGGAGAGGCGAATTACTGGGCGCCAGGAGAGCGAGGATGGGGCCGGGAACTTTGGAGATACTTGGTTCGTGGTCACGTGACACCACCGGTGTGGCAGGTTGGAGGTAAGCTAGCTTTATAAATTGTGCTGATGTTCTTTATCGTGGAATTTAGGGCTTATTAGGGAGGGTCGCCCATTGACTGAATCAATTGTCATTGACTAAATTAAAGCGGGCCTTATTGGACTATAGACATGTAAAGCAGTCCTGGATCTGTAGGAACTTTAGATGATGGAGATCCAGTGACCTGGTGACTAATTGGCATCAGTTGCGGAGTGTGATGGAAGAAAGTGCTGTGGAAGTCAGAGGAGGAGATGATTGAGTGAGTTAAGAATACTTAATTTTTTTTTAAAGGTGAACATTCAGTTCAAGTAGTAGAGCACTAGCCTTGCGCAAAAAAAGCTCAGGGACAGCGCCTAGGCCCTGAATTCAAGCCCCACTATGGACACGCCCTTCCCCACAAAAGAAGATGAAGAAGAAAAGATGGTATTCAATTTCTGAAAGTCTAATTTAGAGATTCTCTCCATGGAAATGAGTGTGGGGAAGCGCTCCAGGTATTCAGAGACAGAATGAGTGTACCTGATGTAGCTTGCAGATACTGAACTCAAATTAGGATTATATACAAATTAGACTGTACACAAAAAGTAGCCTTTTCGAGGGTCACCAACTGGAGGGGTAAGATTGAAGTACAGTAAGGGTTTTTAGTAAGCAAGAGAAGGACTTTCTAGATGGAAGGCACATCCCTAAAGACTTAGGAGTAGTCTGGATTGGATAGATTGTAAGGTATATGTTAGAATTATGGTATTAAGGATGTTGGGTGACATTTGTTTTAATTCTTTGTTTGCTTGTTTTGGTGTTGGGTATTGAACCTAGAGCTTCATTCCTGGGTCAGTTTTGAAACATCTTAAATGCTAAGCAGATCGGATTTAATTTCCTGGCCTGTTGGGAGCAATTGAACACTCAAGTGATGGCATAATCCTCCTCAGTAATTTAAGGTCAGCATAGGTATACATTGGATTGGAGGGAAACAGCAGACACACTGAGTCCCTATTGTAGTGCCAGTAGCAGAATTATAATTCAAATTTTATATTAAGTGAACTAGTTTTTGTAATTTAGTAGGAAATATTTTCTAAAGCTGCTGTTTTAGATCTAGGCTGTAAATCCCTACCAAACATCCCTGTTATTCTGCTTGGATGACACCAAACTGGATTTGAATCACAAATGCTTCTCTACTCTAATGGGCTGCAGAAACCAACAAAAAAACTCCCCCAAACAAAACTTGTCCAAGTTGCAATTTTGTAGTTAAGAGATACTTAAAGCAGAGTGGGAGAGAAAATACTTACTGAAAACTTATGGTTGACACATCTAAAAAGGATGCTTTTATTTTCTTGTTTAGGTAGGCCCAAGTTTTGTTGCCTGAGAAAATAGGGCATCAGGCTGCTCTTGGCTGATGTAGGGAGGTGAAATGCATGAGGCAATGATGAGTGAAGTATAGTCTGACCTGGTATTGCCATTGCTTGAGTGTTGGCTTTGACCAGGGCATGATCCCTTAATCTTCTCTCTGAGCTCATTCTGGTTGTGGTCCCCCCCCCCCCCAATAGGTGAGTCCTAGCTTATTTGAATACTGCCTTCTTAAGTGTAAGTGGTTTTTTGAATTACTGATACTTTGTTTCCCTCCTTAGGTTGAAGTGAAAAATCTGGTTTGAAATCTTCATGGAGGACTACAGCATTTCAATCCTGAATCTGATTCACTCCCTTTATTGACTTATTACTGTATTAAAAAATAATGTAATTGGGACTGGGAAGGTGGCTTAGTGGTAGAGTGCTTGCCTTGCATGCATGAGCCCTGAGCTCGATTCCTCAGCAGCACATAAACAGAAAAAGCTTGAAGTGTACTGTGGCTCAAGTGGTAGAGCTCTAGCCTTGAGCTGAAGAGCTGAGGGATAGCACCCAGGCTCTAGGCCCCATGACCGACCAAAAAAAAAATGTAATTAACTATGGTATTTTTGTGGTATATCCTTTGAATTTTTTGAAACCTTTGAGTTTTTATAAGAATTTGTAAAATATAGCCACTATGTTTTTATTTTATGTTTAAAATTGATGTAATGGATAATTCATTTTAGAATTTAACTGTATCATATATATGCTTTGAATTGCCAAATGAGTTACATTATTAGAAAAATTCTTCGCATAGCAAAGACAAATTATTTTCACCCGTCCTCTATTAAAATTGATTTGGGTATTTTGAGACTAGTTCACTATTTCAATGCTGGCCTTGAAATTTTGATTCTCTTACCTTTGAATGCATCACTGCACCCTGCTAATAACCCTCCCACCCTCCTTTCCTTTTTGGAATACTGAAGCACTGGAGTTTGAACTCAGAGTTTAATGAATGCTAGGCAGATGCTCTGTGGATGAGCCACTCCTTCAACCCTGGTTGCTCTTGCAATAGGGTCTCAGTTCTTGCTTAGGTACACACCTAAACCACAATTTGCCTATTTTAAGTTTCCCATCATAGCTGGAATATCAGGTCCTGGCCTTTTGAAGACTTCCTTGTCCAGGGTCTCCTAGAACGCAGTCTCTTCCCACATAGCTGAGGTGACCAGTGTCCCACCATGCCCAGCCAGCTATTGGTTGAAAAGGGGGTCTTTTCTGCCTGGGCTGTCCTTGAACCATGACTCTCCCAGTTTTAGCTTCCCAAGTAACTAAAATGAAAAGTATAATCCATTGGCACCTAGCTGATGACTTTTTTTTAAATCAAACCTGTATTTATCAACCTGCTGATCTTGTGGCATGAATTTTCCTGTTCAGGCAATTTCAGTTTCTTTCTTTCTTTTGTTCATACCTTCCTTCCCTTCCCATCCCTGCCCTCCCTCCCTTCCTTCTTTATTTCCTTCCTTTCTCCCAATAGCAATAGAAATCAGTTGCACATGCCAGATTAGAGTTGTGTTTTTACAGAGGCTCCTGAATCTCAGGTAAGCCTTAAACTCAACCTCCTATCTCAGTTAAGTGGCATGTACCAGCTGGGTGCCGGTGTAATCTTACCTGCTCAGGAGGCTGAGATCTGAGGATTGCAGTTCAAAGCCAGCCCAGACAGGAAAGTCCATGAGACTCTTGTCTCCAATTAAGCCAGAAATGGAGCTGTGACTCAAATAGTAGAGCACTAGCCTTGAGCACAAAAACTCAGGGACAGCACCTAGGCCCTGAGTTTAAGCTTATTCAGAAATAAATAAAGGCATGTACCCCCTCCCATACTAGGCCTGTTTCTGTAGTTTTTCTGGTACAAAGTATTCCACACAAAGTTATAGTCTTGCTGTTAAAGCAGAGTATTTTTGTTCTGATGATTTTGAAATCCTTAATATAAAAACCTCAAAAAGTCAAAGGTGATCTGAATAAAAAATTTATTTTAAACACTTTAAGTAATAGGTTTTCACATAATCATGATAGCATGGAACAGTTGTCAGAAACATTTATTCAAACAACTCGTTTCCTAAGAACTTTAGTAATAATGAGGATAGTTACTGTCAGCTGAGCAAGATCTTCAATGGAAAGCAGAAAGACTTTATTAAAAGGTCTCATTCAAGCCGGGTGCCAGTGGCTCACGCCTGTAATCCTAGCTACTCAGGAGGCTGAGATCTGAGGATCATGGTTCAAAGCCAGCCCAGGCAGTCCGTGAGACTCTTTATCTCCAATAAAAACCAATAGAAAGCCAGAAGTGGCACTGTGGCTCAAGCGGTAGAGTGCTCACCTTGAGTTAAAGAGCGCAGGGACAGTGCCCAAGCCCAGAGTTCAAGCCCCACAACTGACCAAAAAAAGAAAAAGGTCTCATTCATTAAGAGTTCATTAGATAAGCATCTCATGTCATCTTTTCATTGTTAGCTTTACTTTCACGTTGAAAATTTTAAAGTACTGCCTATGTAAACATTCAATGTAAAGGAATCTTCAAATGCTAATAAACTGTAGATATCATTCACAAGAATATGGAAGGAATTTTTTTCTAAAGTGTTCTTACTATTTTTGTAATGAGCATGTCCATGTTTCATATTATTTTGGAAGTAATAAAACCTCCACCTCCTAGGCAGAGATGTTTTCTAAAGAGAAGACCTGCTTCCCCTAGCCACCCATTTTATAAAGTCCAACCTGAGGTTTTCCAGAGAGCTTCTCTATCTCTTGTTCCTCTTTAATCAACCGGTAGATGGCCCTCACATTCCCTACAACCTTGAGGCTTCAACTTTAACTGGGTTCACTGTAAGTTGGGGGTCTAGAGAGCAGGCTAAAAGGTTAGGATCAAGTGGGCATATCCTTTGAAAGGAATCCATGTAGTTGTTTAAAATTAATTGTAAACTGGGTAAGGTATCAATGTTGTGTACCATACTGAAAAACAGCCCTGTAGCTTTATAGTACAATACTTGAGCTGTGAGATAATTTGCTAATCTTTTCAGTTCTCAGGGGAATACAGCTTAATTAGATGCTGTACTTCTGTTGGATAACCTGTGATGGGACAAGCTTGGTGACTCCTCACATAGGTAAACACACAGCGATAACAAAACACATAGCCAGAAGTGGCAAGAACAGTATCATTCACCCGGGTTTTACGACACAGTGGGCACACAGTCTTCATTTTGGGTAACAGTGGGGAATCAGAATTGTAGTCGAGGTGTACAGGTGGTGGTGGAGTAGGCAGGGCAGTCAATGATTTGATGGTTTCTTGGTTTTCTGAAGAGTACCACCAGTCAAGAAACTGCAGGAAGAACACACCCACAGAAAGCCCAGTGGAAAGGGAGAAGGCAACACCTCCCACAGCTTTTTTCAGAGCTGACTTTATTTTCTCACGAACACTGCTGGGGGAAAACAAGGGAACAAAGTCAAATTTCACTTGGATATAATTACACAAAAACTTGTAAATGTAGTTTTGCACTTTTCATCAGAGTCACTGACTTGGGGATTGAAGAGCTGCTATATTAAGATCTTTTCCTTAATCTATTCTAAATGATTCCCTGCTTTGTTTTGTGTGCCAGTACTACTGCTTGAACTTAAGGGCTTGGGCACTGTCCCGGAGCTTTTTTGCTCTAGGATAGCACTCTACCATAGGAGTCATAGCTCCATTCTGGCTTTTTGATGGTTCAATGGAGATAAGTCACAGGAACTTTGCTACCCAGGCTGGCTTGGAACTGCAATCCTTAGATCTCAGCCTCATGAACAGCTAGAATTACAGGCATGAGCCATGGGCACCCGACTTAATGGTTCCCTCTTTTAATTCAGCATTTTATGTGTTGAGGATCTAACCTTCATTTGTTTGTGAAGATCTCACTACATAGCCTGGCTGGCCTCAAACTTGTGATCTTTCTCTGTCTCCACCTCTCTAGTGCTGAGATGACAAGTATATGCCATCATGCCTAGCTCTCAGCTTCATGTTTTGTTTTTCTAAGAACTTCAGCTGGTTGTACAAAGGGGTTACAATTTATAACATGTCCATCTAAGTGCTCAGTGCTAAGTTTCATTTAGAACTGTATTAACCTGCCTTGAATGACAGCTTTCTATCTCCTACCTGCCGAACTCTGTCTAAGGTACTTAGCTGTAAAGGCTTATTTTTCTCAACTGTTAGAGGTACTGCATTTACTTCACTGAGTTGTGACAAAGCTTGAGATACTGAATATACAGAAAACATCCAGCACAGGGCCTGGCACATACCAAGTCTTCACTAAAGTGTGCATCATCCGAGAAAGGTTTTCTGTGTGTTTTGTTGTTGTTTGGTTTAATTTTTTGTCAGTCATGGGACTTAAACTCTGGGCCTGAACGCTGTCCCTCAGCTCTTCAGCTCAAGGCTAGTGTTCTATCACTTCCCTCAGCTCAAGGCTAGTGTTCTATCACTTGAGCCACTATGCCACTTCCGGTTTTCTGAATAGTTTACTGGAGATAAGAGTCTCACAGACTTTCCTGCCTGGGATGGCTTTGAAGCGTGATCCTTAGATCTCAGCCTCCTGAGTAGCTAGGATTATAGGCGTGAGCCACCAGTGCCCAGCTACTATGGTTTTATTAAATAATTCTGGGTAGACAAAGGGAGGAAAACTTCCGAAGATTAGGATAAGACCTTAGAATTTGTTAAAGTTGTTTTAAAGACATTAGGCCTTACCTCTTGGCTGGTTGCTGCATCATGTAGGCCTCAACCAATCTGCGTTCCATGGCTTGAATGTCCTGAACTGTTAGTCGGCCTAGCCGAACTCCAGCCAGTCTCAGCAGAGGAGAGTGATGCTGAGCTTTTCCTAGGATGTAGCTAAGTTGCTGTACAAGAAACCAGCCTTCCCAAGCCATGTTAACAAATGGGTAGGCTGCTAGGAAGGCTCTGTAAAATCGTTTCCAGTGGGAAGAGGGGGGATGAATAGAATATTCATCCTCTTCTCTCAGGCTAGACACCAGCTTCTCCAGCTTCACTTTGAGATAGGGAAGAAGAACCAGGAACACAACTGACTTCCAAAGCTGCTTCTTTGGTAGACCAGCACTGGCTAATCTCTGAGACTTGTGAGAGTCCTCCATTACAATCCGCTTTAAGCCATAAAAATTTTCAGAAAAAGAGGCACTGGTTTTAGACAGATAATGCTGCTGGAGCAGAAGATCTAGCAGAGTAAAGATTTCGTCAAACCACCTCCAAAAGAAGCCATAGTGTGCAGGATTTGATTCTGCCAAAACCTAAAGAAGTCACATGAAATAAAAAAAAAAAATCAACAGAAGTTCATTCTATTACACAACTACTGTACTTCATTTTGCGTTTCCTTTTTGCTATTGCAATTCAATGCATTTGGGGCTTAAGTCACTTCTTTTGGGATCTACCCTGACCTCCCTGAAGAGGCTAGGTATTCGGTACAGGGCTCTACACAGATGGGGCTGAATATGCACTCGGATTAAGCCCTGGTTTATGAAGTGTGTGAAAATAGTTATTCCAGTCCTGGGCTACCAAGTAAATTACTTGGTTCGGTTTTCACCCAATCCTCCCTGGAATCTCTCAGGAAATTTATACCTTACCTTGACCACATGCTGTAGAGCAGGTCTCACAGCTGTCATTAGACTGTCCTGCGCTACCACCTCAAAGATGGATGGCTGATGATCCGCCACAGAAGCAGTCGTAACATGAGCCCCATGTTCAGCCATCGTATCTCCTGTGTATACTATTATTTCACTTTCTCCACAAACGCTCTACTGACCATGAATTTTTTTTTTAATCGAACGGGTGCTGAATCTTATGACTCTTTCTGCATGACACCTCAAACTCCAAACTCTCAAGTGAAATTTAACTGGGGAGGGGGGTGGGACGGGGCACCTCTTCTGGGAGAAGTCTCCCAGTGGAGTCCCGGAGGAAGTTAGCTCCGCGCGGGTGAAGGGGCACGTGAGAGGGGTGACTTGTCCAGCGCGGCAGCTGGCAGGGCACAGCGTGACTCGGGGAGGGGGAGGGAGATCAGGCAGGTCCTCTCCACCTGCAGGCCTGGAGCTACGAACCAATGACCCTCACTTCGTGGGGTGGGGGGGGCTGGAGAGCCAGCCGGATCTCAGCGAGCAGAGGTGCCAGTGCAGGTCGGGAACGCTAGGTCTGGCTCCGGCTGTGGGCTAGAAAGTTCCCCCGCCCGCGCCCGTCCTTGCTTGTTGACCCCTGGCGAGGAGAAGGTGGGGGGTGGGGGGGAGAAGAACTCGCGACGCCACGTTTGAAGGGAGGGCTCAGCTTTATGACCGAAGCTTCGACCGGAAGTAGAAGCCCCGGGGGACCTGGAGGACGGCTGGCGGAAGAGAGGCTCTCTAGCCCGCCGGTGAGGCCTTAAAACCGGAACTAGAAAACTCTATGGTCAACAAACGGACTTCCGCTTCCGCCCCGCGTACCGTTGCAGAGCGCCTCAGGCTGGTGCGTGCGGTTGTCACCTCCGTGCGACTGGCGGTCCTACGAGCAGCCGGGGGTCCAGGGCCGTGGCGGGGGACGGCGTGCTACCCACCTCCAGCGAGGGTCTAAGGCGATAGAACCGTCAGCTTTATTACCACCGATGATAAGACAGAGTCCTTACGACGAGCTCCTGAGAAATTGGGGTGATTTTGTTTTTTCTTGGTATCGGTCCTGGGGCTTGAACTCAGGACCGGGGCAGTGTCCCTGAGCTTTATTCTCTCAGGGCTAGTGCTTTACCACTTAAGCCACATCTACTTGCAGGGGTTTGTGTGTGTGTGTGTGTGTGTGTGTGTGTGTGTGTGTGTGTGTGTGTGTCTTGGGGCTTGAACTTGGTGCTTCACAGCCAGCGTTCTACCACTTGAGCTGTGGGCTGGGGGCACTTGGGCTTGAACTCAGGGCTTCACAGCCAGGGATCTACCACGTGAGCCACGCTTGTACTTTCATCTTTTTGCTGGTTAATTGTAGGAATTTGCTATTTGTTTGCCTAGGCCGACCCCAAACTTCCATTCTTGGATCTCAGCCTCTTGAGTAGCCAGGATTATTAGGTGTGAGCTACTTGTTGGCAGCCTTGATACCTTGTTTCAAAAAATTCTGGTTCCAAGCCGGCGCTGGTGGCTCACGCCTGTAATCCTAGCTACTCAGGAAGCTGAGATCTGAGAATCGCGGTTCAAGGCCAGCCCGGGCAGAAGAGACCGTGAGACTCCTATCTCCAATAAACCACCAGAAAACCGGAAGTGGCGCTGTAGCTCAAGTGGTAGAGCGCTCGCCTTGAGCTGAAGAGCTGAAAGACAGCGCCCAGGCCCAGAGTTCAAGCCCCACGGCCGACCAAAAGAAAAAAAAAATTCTGGTTCCTGTGGCACATGCCTGTAATCCTACCTACTCAGAAGGCAGAGATCTGAGTATCACAGTTTATGAAGCCAGCCTGGGCAGGAAAGTCTGTGAGAATCCAGTTTACCAGCAAAACGTCAGATGTAGAGCTGACTCAAGTGATAGAATACACACACACACAAAGTTCCTTCTTTTTCAATGAGGGTGCATGCTAAAGAAGAACAGCAGGCCCCAGGTCCTGAGTCCAAACTGTAGTATCAGCAATAAATAAATCTTTTTGCTTATCTACTAAAAGTTTCCCAATATTTGAAATTTTCTGATTATGTCTCTGACATGTCATTTAGCCACATACTTCTTTCTCCTATATTTTCTGTGACTTGATAATGGAATCTAGAGGCTTGATTACATTCATATTCTTTTATTGGGGGTAGACTATAAGGTGGCAGCCTTCCATTAGGAGGCATAGAGTGGTGTTTGTCTCTTTCAATAATATATCAAGTACTGATATATACAGTTGTTAAAAAATTAGGGGCTGGGAAGGTGGCTCAGTGGTAGAGTGCTTTGTCTTTCATGCATGAGGCCCTGGGTTCAATTCCTCAGCACCACATAAGCAGAAAAAGCCAGAAGTGGCACTGTGGCTCAAGTGGTAGAATGTGAGCCTTGAGCTGAAGATCTCGGCCCAGGCCGAGTTCAGACCCCTTGGCCAACTAATGAACATATAAGACATGACTAGTTTGAATAAGGATGTGCTGTATAAAAATATACATTGATTTAAAACTCTGAAATATATCCAGGCACTGGTGGCTTATGCCTGTAATCCTAGCTACTTAGGAAGCTGAGATCTGAGGATCCTGGTTGAAAGCCAACCTGCAGGAAAGTACATGAGACTGTCAAGGGGCTTGAACTCTTGAGCCTGGGTGCTATCCCTGAGCTCTTCAGCTCAAGTCCCAGTGCTCTACCACTTCAGCCACAGCTCCACTTCCAGGTTTCTGGTGATTAATTGGAGATAAGAGGCTCTTGGAGGGGCTGGGAAGGTGGCTCAGTGGCAGAGCGCTTGCCTTGCATGCTTGAGGTCCTGGGTTCGATTCCTCAGCACCACATAAGCAAAAAGAAAAAAGCTGAAAGTGGCGCTGTGGCTCAAGTAGTTAGAGCGCCAGCCTTGAGCTGAAGAGCTGAGGGACAGTGCCCAGGCCCACGACTGGGCCAGAAAAAAACAAAAACAGTCTCTTGGACTTTCCTGCCGGGGCTGGCTTTGAACTGAGATCTTCAGATCTCAGCCTTTTGAGTAGCTAGAATTACAGGAGTGAGCCACCAGCACCAGGCCCGTGAGACTCATCTCTCTCTCTCTAACATAAAATATAAAACTAGGGGCTGGGAAGTTGGCTCTGGTAGAGCACTTGCCTTGCCATGCATGAGTCCTTGGGTTCAATTCCTCAGCACCACATAAGCAGGAAAAAAAAGCTGGAAGTGGCACTGTGGCTCAAGTGGTAGGGTGCTAGCCTTGAGCTGAAGAGATGAGGGACCGACAGCACCCAGGCCCAGAGTTCAGCCCCCACAACCAACAAAAAAAATTAAAAATAAAATATAAATATAATACATTGATGAAAGTACTTAGTAAAAAGAATGCAGAATTTAAACAATATATAATTATTTTAAATGTCAGTACTTTTGCATATATAGGATTAAAAGTATAAAATTTAGAAAAATTAAAAGATAAAGCCCAGCACTTGAGAAGCTAAGGCAGGACAATTTAGAGTTCAAATCCAGCCTAGGCTACCCAGCAAGACTGTTTTATAAATCAACATCCAGGAGAGAGAGAGAGACACACACACACATCCAACAAGACAAAGTTGAAAAGATTTTGAATTGATGGTATATTTAGAAAATAAAATGTATATATATATATATTCCTTAAAGTTGGAAAATACAATTAAAAGGCAACTGTTTGTAAACCGATACCCAGAATATATATATATATATATATATATATATATACACACACACATATGTCATAGGAAATTTTAACATGTCATTACTTTCCTGAGAATGATTTAATGCATAAACTTTTCTGCTCTCACAGAGTTGATAGGCAAAAATGCAAATACGGGGGCAATCTACCCCTTGCTCTCTAACAGTACACCTTTGAATTTTAGGGACAGTTTCATTTACATGACAGTTTCATTCATCAGCCTTTCTCCAGTTTCCAGATCGTTTTGGAAAAAAAACCTGTAAGCTACGGATTTTATTTTGTAACATTTAGACTTCAAGAGGTTGTGGAGGCACTCAGGGCAGGGATTTGAACTGAGATCTGATGCCATCTCAATTTCTTTGCACGTGTGTGTGTGTGTGTGTGTGTGTGTGTGTGTGTGTGTGTGTCGTCCTGGGCTGTGTCATCATTGAGGGAATGGATTTGAACTGAGATCTGATGCCATCTCAATTTCTTTGCGTGTGTGTGTGTGTGTGTGTGACAACCACTGAGCTTCCTCTGGGCTCAGGGGTCCAGGTATAGGCCCCTAAGCCAAAAGTGAAATCCTCCCTTCATCTCCCAGGTAACCGCCTCCTGGTTCTCCCGCGCACCTCGATGACGTCGCGCGGCGAGGCTCTCTGACGTTAAGGTTTCCGGCCTACCATCTTTGTGCCTGGCAAATTGGGTTTTGCGCAGTGTAGACCTAAAGAAAGAATCGTGACGGGCAGGAAACCATTACAACTGCTCCCAGGCTGTGCTCTCCGACTGCTGCCGCCACCCCCGCCCTCGCCCCTGGTGAGTTTCGGGCGGCTGTTTTTGGGGTGTGTCCCTAATTGATGGGAAGGAAGGGGAGCCCCGGGGGCTGGGCCGCTGACCGGGCGGGGCTGGAGCCTGGAAACGAGACGGTTGAGGATGGGGGCAGCGTCGGGGTGACCGTTGTGAGGAGGAAGGTCGGCAGGGGGCCGTCCCCGCTGCCTGCCGCCCGGGTCGGAGCAGGGAGGGAGTGCTCAGGGTGGCCGCGGGGGCTGGGGGTGCTCTGGAGGGAAGAGTGGGCTTCCGAGTTGGGGCTTTCTCGGCCGGAGGGCGGAGGCCAGGGGTGTGGCGGGTCGAGGCCAGAGTGGAGGCCGAGGGCAGCCCTTCCCCTTTCCGGGTGGTTCCCGAGGGACAGGGAGGTGTCCAGCGAACAGAAGGGGGAAAAAAGGGGTCCCCAACCCTTTGCCCCCAGAACTTGAGGTTTGGAGGCACCCCTGTCTCTTTGCTATCTGATAAGGGGATGAAGAATACACCCCGAGGGTCTGTGATCGTCTGGGGTAAGGAAGAGGGCTTCCTTGACACCTCGAGCCTGGCCAGAACTAACCTCCATAATTGACCCGAAAGGAGAGTGGAGGATGTCTTTTTCTTTTTCTTCCTTCCCCCCTCCTCCTCCCCCCCCCCCCCTCCGGGTCTCGCAGTAACTGACTAGTTTGGGAAAGGCTTTAGATTCCATTAGAAGTAAAGAAACTAGAATTTCCTGTTTTTGTTTTTTTTCCCCAAATTTGCATTCGGAGAATGTGTGCTGGTTTGTTTTCAAAACACTTCTCAATTTGGCTTTTATTGAACTCATTCACTCGGCTTCGTTACGAAGTACTGGGAAATGTGGGCTGGTCCGTCATTAGACTTTTGACATTTAGAAAGAAAAGCGCTTTTTTAACTGCCTAACACTGTTGTAACGGTTGTGGTTTAAAAGGAAGAGTAAAGAAAATGTTATTTGCTCAGAAAGGTTGGATGACTAAGAAAGAAGGCGGTGTCAATATGGAACAATTTAAATTATTAATTACCTTCCTTGTACAGTTCTATTGCTTAGCCTCAGGGTGCACTTGCAAAGTAATAATAGAAAGCAGCTGTACAAGAAACCCAGGAACACTTTCCAGTGATGACTAAGCTGGTGGCAAGGTGAGAGCCATTTCAGGTATCTTAACAACTAGAACTCCTGGAGAACCAGAAAGGATAGTGTGTCCTGCGACAGGCCCCCTGGAAGTTGGGTGATAAAATTAATATAAAGCAAACATTTTAAGAGACTCAAGCAGGTTCATTTCTCCTATGTGATTTTTTTTCTTTTTTAAAAGATCACTATTTTAGATTATCACAATTGAGGGACAGATTTTAACTCAGTGAAGTAAGGAGTATTTAGACAGGACGCAGTCTTCTCAGGCTGGCTTGGTATTTTATTAACAGTTGGATGTGAAACTGTTGAGCCCTTTTTTCAGAATGATACTATATTAACAATAACTTATAGTCATGTTTAAATAAAAGATTGTTAGCTGTAAAATGTTTGATGATTTCTGATGAACTAAATAATACTTGGAAGATGCCATTGGTCTTTGTTACTGAATATTTGAATGAAAATGAGCTTAACACCTTTAAGACTTGTAATAAAAAGTTGCTTTACTATTTGCCTGACTTTGGGCAGTTTCTTACTGTGACCACTGAACTGTGTAAAGATGGGCTTATGTGCAAAAATGGACAATTTACCAGAGCCATTTGAAATTAAGACACTATTTTTTTTTAATTTATACTACTAAACTGTTAATCTTGTTTCTCATTGGGGAACTGGATGGAGGACGGAATTGAAGGAGAGGAGGGACTTTCACAACCTATATTTGGCAGAAACTAGGTTATGTTAAATCTAGATATATAATCCTGTCCAGGACAACCTTCTGTGAAATATAGTGACATCACACTTTGTGCTAGGACAAATAAGTGATTATGTGCTTTGACTGGGGCAGCTTTATTGTTTAACAATGTCCCTAGTGCATACAATCCATCAGTCAGAACAGCCAGGGAGTACTTTTCAGGTTTGGGTTTGATTTGGTAGAAAGGTAGTAGAGTTCAAATTCTATTACGGCTTTATTTCTATTCTAGGCTCTTCTGAGGAACATTACTTCTCTTGTCTCTCAGAAGAACTTTTATTCTTGAGGTGCTTCAGTAAATTATTAATATTTTAGATTTTTTATTTGATGGTATTGGAGGTTTGAACTCAGGTCCTCCTAGGGTTCAGGAACTCAGTGCTTACTAGGCAGGTACTATAAGAATAATTTTTCTTAGCAAATTATATTTTCTTTGGCTTCATCCTGACCATGCTTTCTGAACCTTTTAGTCAAGGCATCAGTTTTCACCTTCCTGAATTTAGAAAATATGGCTATTCTTGTATCTGGCAAATGTTGGGTACACTTTATTTTAAAAATATGCAAAAGTTTTTGAGATGAAATTTTTATAAAAACCGTTTTAAGATGAACGATTCAGTGGCCTTTAGGACATTCACAGTGTATAACCATCTTCTCTTGCTTTTTATTTAGATTATTTTCATCTTTCTTGGAGAGTTAATTTTGTTTTGTTTTTTGTTTCTATACTGGGGCTTGAACTCAGGGCCTTTTGGCTTTTTCACTCACAGCTGGAGCTTTACCACTTGAGCCACACCTCCACTTCCAGCTTTTTGGTGGTAATTGGAGATAAACCCATGGACTTTTCCACTTTGTCTGGCTTTGAACCCTGGTTCTCATATCATAGCCGCCTGAGTAGCAAGTATTACAGCCATGAGCTACCAGCCTGGGCATTGATTCTTCTGGCTTAAAGCAGAGACTAACTTGTTATAATGTTTCTCTGACAATATAGATAGGGAATATATATATATATATATATATATATATATATATTTTTTTTTTTTTTTTTGCTTATGTGGTGCTGAGGAATCGAACCCAGGGCCTCATGCATGCAAGGCAAGTGTTCTACCACTAAGCCACCTTCCCAACCCCATAGATAGGGAATATTTTTATTTACTTTTTATTTTTTGCAAGTCCTGGGGCTTGAACTCAGGACCTGGGCACTGTCCCTGAATTGCTTTTGCTTAAGGCTAGCACTCTACCACTTGAGCCACAGCACCACTTCTGGCTTTTTCTGTTTATGTGGTACTGAGGTATCAAACCCAGGACTTCATGCATGCTAAGCAAGCTCTCTACCACCGAGCCACATTCCTGAATATTTCTTTGTAATTTTTTCCATGGCGTCAGCTAAGAGTTATGTTTTCTTCTCTTTTATTTTTCGTGTCTTTTTTTGCTGGGGGAGGGCAGGTACTGGGGATCAAACGCCCAAGGTCTTTAACCTGCTATGCAAATTCTCTTACCATTGAGCTACATCCCTTGCCTGTCTGTCCCTGTGCCTCTCTGGCTGTCTTAAAAACAACAACAACAACTGTGAAACAGGAGGGTTGAACCTAGGCCATCTAATAAACCAGGGACTGAGATGATGTCACTGATCTGCATCCCCAGTATTTTTATTTACTTTTGAAATGATCTCAATACATTACCCCAGGCTAGACCTTGAAATTACAATCTTCTTGCCCCAGCTTGCCCAGTAGCTGGGTCTGTTTTTTTTTTTTTTTTTAGAGCGGAGAGTCTTGGTTTAAGATCTGTGTTTTCAACTTCTAAAGATATTTGATACTCCTTTCTTCCCTAATATTTTTGGGTTGGGTACATTATTTTTTTGTGGGTCGCAGGTCATGAACGCTGGGCCAGGGGTGCTGTCCCTGAGCTCCTTAGCTCAAGGCTAGCACTCTACCACTTGAGCCACAGCGCCACCTCTGGTTTTCTGGTGGTTAATTGGACATAAGAGTCTCAGACTTTCCTGCCCTGGCTGGCTTTGAATCACGATCCTCAGATCTCAGCCTCCTGAGTGGCTAGGATTACAGGCATGAGCCACTGGCACCTGGTTGGGGTATATTATTCTCTAAGATAAAATTCTCCCAACAAACAGGACAAATATGCTTTAAATTGAAATTTGTTAGGAGAGATATTGAAATAGCATAACTGCTAATAAAGTCATGACTTAAGAATTAGGGTATTTTATTATTTAACAGAATGTGATGAAAATTCCTATTAAGAATTTAATGTGGGTATGTATATCTATCTATCTATCTGTCTGTCCCTCACTCAGCTCTTCAGCTCAAAGCTAGCACTCTACCACTTGAGCCACAGTGCCACTTCCGGCTTTTTTCTTTTTGCTTATGTGGTGCTGAGGAATTGAACCCAGGGCCTCAGGCA